AACCAGTCCATCCTAAAGGAGATCAGTCCTGAATGTTCATTGGAAGGACTGATGCTGAAGCTGAAACTCCAATACTTTGGCCACCTCATGCGAAGAGTTGACTCTTTGGAAAAGACCCTAATGCTGGGAAGGATTGGAGGCAAGAGAAGAAGGGGACAACAGAGGATGAGATGGCTGGATGGCATCACCAACTCAATGGACATGGGTTTGGGTAGACTCCGGGAATTGGTGATGGATAGGGAGGCCTGGTGTGCTGCAATTCATGGGGTCGCAAAGAGTCAGACATGACTGAGCAACTGAACTGAACTGAAGTGAATGTACTTAAGGCCTAGGTCAGCAAATTTTGTCTGTAAAGATCCAGATAGCAAATGTTTCAGCAGGTCAGGGGCAAAATCATAGATATAAGGCATGAACTTACACAATAAGAGAAAAATCAAATTTGCATAATGAAGTTCATATTATAATAAAAATTACTATTATTTTTTGTATATAGGCCTGCCATATGAAATTCTTTGTGGGGGGATCACATTTTACTGCATTGAGGTTCAAAGTGAGCATGCCCTATGAACAAAGGCATGAATGCATGCATGCTCAGTTGCGTCTGACTCTTTGGAACCTTATGGACTGTAGCCCGCCAGGCTCCTCTGTTCATGAGGATTCTCCAGGCAAGAATACTGAAGTGAGTTGCCACACGCTCATCCAGGGGATCTTCCCGACCCAGAGATCTAACTCAAGTCTCTTATGTCTCTTGCATTTATTGCTAATGCCACCTGGGAAGCCTGAATGCATGAATACACGTGTAAAAACCATTCTTAGTTCACAAACCATACAAAAACAGGCAGCTGGATGTATCCCATGGGCCATAGCTTGTTGTGTCTGCACTAGGGACTCAGTTCATGCTTTTGAGAAGGGGAGGTTATTGGATCATAATGTTGTTACATCAGCATGAGACACACTGGAGGCAGTAACATAGAGGCAAGAGATAGTGAGGACCTAAATTAGACTGTCTTGGGTTTCGGTGGTCTTATTCAAGTAAGTAGCTGACATGAGAGGTAACAACTTGGGGTCAAGTCAAAATCAGATGGAGCAGCATTAACCACTCAGATCATAAACCCTTATCATAAGCAATGTTGGCTCCCTTTTCTGTAACCTCCTTGACCTGTGCAGGACCTCTTATTCATATTGGGAAAGGAGTCCAGATGCCTTCAGGCAAGTCTTGCCCCTGCTAGAAGCAGATGTAAGAAAAGCTAAAAGAGCCTCCAGAAATAAAACACTGGCAAGAAGACTGACTGAGAAAGAAGGCCAACTCTTTGAGTTCTGTTATCAGGGGCTGCAGAGATCCTTTGAAAGAAGAATCACTTCTCTCCTAAATAATTTTGGCACTACAGGGAGTCATCGTGTCTTTGGAGCCCAACCTGTTTGGTTATATAATCTTCTTTTTTTTTTCATTTATTTTTATTAGTTGGAGGCTAATTACTTTACAATATTGTAGTGATTTTGCCATACATTGACATGCATCAGCCATGGGTTTACATGTGTTCCCATATAATCTTCTTAATTGGGTCAAACTCTCAGTTATCTAATACAAATCCTAATACTCAACAGTTTTTAAGGCCACATTAGATAGATACTGCATCAAGTAAAACTGTTTTCCAAAAAGTGGAAATTAGGTGCTATGTTTCATCTTGAACTGGAACCTTATTTACCTAGAGTCCAAGGTGAATATGCATGCGTGTTTCAAGAAGCAGTTCTGGGCCATAGAAGTCTGTTTATAGGGAGGACCGAGAATCCTGCTAGGATAGTCAGTGTTGTGGGAGAAGGGCGGTTCTCAGAAGGTGGTGTCTGTCAATTCAGTTCTCTAATTCGGTTCCTATAGACTTATTTCCAATCTTAGAGTACTGGGGAGACATCAAAGGAGGGAGAAAAAACTGCGCTGAGAACTATTTACAATAGGAAGCAACCTAAATATCCATCGACAGAGGAAAGGATAAAGATGTGCTACATATATACAATGGAATATTACTCAGCCATTAAAAATAATGAAATAATGCCACTTGCAGTCACATGGATGGCCCTAGAGAGGGTCATACTGAGTGAAGTAAGTCAGATAGAGAAGGAGAAATACCATATGACGTCCCTTATATGTGGAATCTAAAAAGAAATGATACAAATGAACTTACTTAAAAAACAGAAAGAGACTCACAGACTTAGAAAACAAACTTATGGTTGCTGGGGGGAAGGGATAGTTAGGGACTTTGGGAAGGTCATGTACACATTGCTATATTTAAAATGGATGATCAACAAAGACCTATTGTATAGCACATGGAACTCTGCTCAATGTTATGTGGTAGCCTGGATGGGAGGGGGTTTGGGGAAGAATGAATACATGTATATGTATGGCTGAATCCCTTCCCTATTCACCTGAAACTACCACAACACTGTTAATTGGCTATATCCCAATACAAAATGTTTCTGTTGTTTAGAAAAACAAAACAAAACTGCACTAAGAGATTAAGAACCCTTGGAATTCAGCATTTCATCAGTAACAGGAGACTGATTCTTGGCACAAATCTCAGTACCCTTGATTCAGGTATTTACCATCTTTGGGTAGATGTTGGCAGCAGGGCACCTGCATGTCCCTGAAAGTGAAGGGGCTCCCTACATTTTGTTGCTTAGTACCTGGTCCCAGCCCTGGTTAGCAGTCATAGACAGCAAGATGGCAATTTTGGTGACAACAAGATGCTAGTAGGTGGGTGGGGGTGGAGTGGTGAGTTGCATAGGAGGCCATTGTGTGCAGTCTGCAAAAAATTCATGAAAAGAGAGTCACTCCATGAGCACATAGGGGGCAAATGTCAGGGTGGCCTCAGAATATGATTGTTGCCTTACATCCTTGGAGGTATTAACATATGCAGACTTCAGTGTTAATGGAGAGATGTGAATTCCTCTTCCACACATTAAAAATGTATTTGGTGCGTTTCGTTCCTCCTGGAAAACTACAGAGAAGTTCCAGCGGTGCAACTGTGTTATTTCCCACTAAGTGTTTGCTTTATAATGAAGGAAAACAGGCATATTTCTTAAGGAACAGGTGTAGTGCTAGTGGATAGGAGAATAGCAAACAGTAGGGGCCCGCTGCCTTGGCAACAGTCTGGTGTCCTAGCAACAAGCATATTCATTTGCCTGGCCTGCCCTGTGGAGTTCTGTCAACAGAGGTAAAGAGCTCACCCACTAAACTTAAGTGGCAGGCTTTCTGTTCCAGGGTGAAGCTAGGCCAGTAAGTGTAAACTTGGAAGTGGAGGAGAAAACCAATCATTCTGCCAAGAAGCTAGTGGTTTGGAAGCTAAGAGGTCAGCAATGTAGGAGTTAAATTGATTCACATCTACTCTTTATCTAGATGTATTGGACATATGCTTCTTTCTTATTTGTTCGCTCTCCTAAAGGAAAGATAAAAAATGTGGTGGTGGTGGCTAAATTAGTCATGACTATGGCTCTGCCCCCCCAGGCTTTCTTTGGGTTTAGAAGTGTGTTATTTTCCCCAAACTTCATTTGACCTGTGCCTCTCTGTTTGAAGCCACAAACACTAAGAGAAAGAGGACAGGACAGTGGCAGTAATTTAAATGTGGGAGCTTCCCTTTTCCCACATAGTTTCATGGTAATCGTTAAATTCTGTGAGAATGATTGAGAAGATTTTTGATCTGGAAAATGTCCAAAATATTTCATGAGACCCATAGGAAATTTCAAATGATTGGAACTAGCTATGGGATAGGATAAAGGGCAAATTTTCTGAAGTTGAGGCCAGGGCAGAAACTATATATATATATATATATATATATATATATATATAACACACACGCTTTATGTATAATTTCAAAGAGTGCATCAAAAGGAATTAAATACTTAAAACTTATATTCCTTTAGAATGGTTTAACTCTTTTATTAGTGGGTGTCATAGTCTAGTAGGTTATATACACACATACACGAAGTGTTTAAAGTCTTTCATAACTAAATCAACCAGAAGCCAAAAAGAAAAAATATCGTTAATATTTTAGGGAATATGGAAAAATATTTAGGGAATCTTAGGGAATTCTCTGGTGGTCCAGTGATTGGAACTCTGCGCTTTCACTGCCAAGGGCCCAGGTTCAGTCCTTGGTCAAGGAACTAAAAACCCACAAGCCACACAGTACAGCAAGAACAAAAGTTTAAAAAAAATGAATCTTAGCTGTTAGTTTCTAAAAGAAATTCAATCTTTCATTTTGACTCAAAATGATATCATAAAGTTCTAGTGAATTCATATTTTAAAAAAACAGCAAAGAGAGTAATGAAACAAATTATAAAGTTAGTTTAAAAATTCAAGTGGATGTCTGAAAAATGTCTTTGGTAACTGTGGAGATCATTGTTCATAACAAAGAACATGCTGAGTAACTATGCTGGGATCATTATGACAACTTAGGCTTTTAAAATGAATTCTTACACATTTGAAATGAATTCCTTACATCCTGGTGACTGACCAACCAATTTAGAGATTGAAACTACAAACAGATGGTATTATATTTCAGCTGATTACCTGTAATTGATTAGTAAAAGTAAAGCAGATAGAGATGAGACTATTTTTTGGAGTATGATGTCAAGAAAAAAAAATGATACTGAGTGAAGATATAAGGCAAATTCCGGCAGAGCATTAGGAGAACCTGGAAATAATCACAGGTAAAGCCAATCATATAAGGCAGAGTCTTGAAGAAGTTAGGGAAAGAAAATCTTTGTTAATTGTGAACCAAGAGAAAGTTACGTATTTGTATGTTAATGGTTTAAATAAACACCCAAATATATTTTACTTTAAGCAATTCCTTTAATTAAACATAAACAGCAAACTCAATCATGTCAGCTTCTAGTTTAGTAACATGTTTAAAGGAGGTTACAAATCTCCTAGTAACGATGTAGCTAGCCACAGTTTTTCTTAGGAAAAAAATTTATTTCTCTAGAAGTTTGTTCTAAAAGACAATGTATTTATAGAAAATGAAATTTAACACCAAAGAGGTACTATTTTGCAAAGTATGTGACTGTTGGCTTGAGGTATGCTCATCAAAATGCATTTAGTTTTCCAAAGGACAATTCTATACATGGTTTGACCAAAGGTTTGATAAGTTTCAAAGTCCTGTTAGAGATTTCCTAAGAGTCCCCATCTCACTTGCTTCCATTTTACTTCTGCTTCTCTGTGGTCACTATGAATTCGCAAGAAGCAATTTTGCAAGCATTTATATGGCTGTGAGCCATGTATGAGTCAATTAGATTGCCTATTTTTTAAATCTCTCTAACAGTTTATAAAACAGACTAACCCCTTCTCTCACACTGCATCAGGCCTGGATTCTGCCCTTTTGAGGAAGAATACATTACACCAAAAAAAAAAAAAAAAAAAACAAAAAAAACCACCACACATTAGTGAAAATATTCATTGAGGTAGAATCTACCCCATAACGATACAGACTTCATATCAGTCTTGTAACAATGAAAACACACTCAAAAAAGTGGCAGAATTAAAATCATGATCAGATTTCTCATTATAAATGAGCCTCATGAAATAAAATTAGCTGCTTCTCCAAAAATAGCACTTAGTACTTGTTGTAGAGGAGCTGGAAGAGCACAGAGCATTCCGGAGAAAATTAAGCTCTTTTTGTGTTTGTTTCCCGTCAGCTCTGTTATTTTCCAGACGGAATTCTCTTTTTTTCCTTGTGTGCTATGTCACTGCAGNGGCCAGTATTAAATATAATGAACCGATAAAAAGAGTGGCATGGATAAAACAAAAACTATTCATGTTATTTGTATTTCAACTGGAGGTTGAAAAAATGTTTCAAGTGCCTTCGAGGGCAGCAGACTTGCCTTCCTTCCTCTTTTCTTCCTTCCTCTGCCCTTCAATCCTGGGTGCTGATGCAGCCAATATCGGCAAGAGTTTGTATTCTCTGACCCCAGGGTAGATGCTGAGGCTACTAGTGATTCTCCTGCTGCTGCTGCTGCTAAGTTGCTTCAGTCGTGTCCAACTCTGTGCAACCCCATAGACGGCAGCCCACCAGGCTCCCCCGCCCCTGGGATCCTCCAGGCAAGAACACTGGAGTGGGCTGCCATTTACTTCTCCAGGGCATCTTNGAAAGTGAAAAGTGAAAGTGAAGTTGCTCAGTCGTGTCCACTCTTCGCGACCCCATGGACTGCAGCCTACCAGGCTCCTATTAGTGATGAGACGTGGACTAATATTGTGCTGAAAAAAATTCAACCTGGAATTTCTGCTTCATGGACCTACTTGACGGGCCTTGGTGAGATAACTGGATGCTATTTTATCCTACATATACATTCTGTATTTGGCAACACAGCACTTGATGTGGGCCATTCATTAGTTACATTGCAACAGGAATGGACCTCTGCTTGTTCATCATTTAGAGCCCAAGAATTGAGAGGAGCATGGCGTACAATACATAGAAACACCATGTGCTCAGTCATGTCTGACTCTGTTGTGATACCATGGGCTGTAGCCTGCCAGAGTCCTTTTGTCTATGGGATTTCCAGGCAAGAAAACTGGAATGAGTTGCCGTTTCCTTCTCTGGGAGATCTTTCTGACCCACAGATCAAACCCATGTCTCTTGCATTGCAGGCAGCTTCTTTACTGCTGAGAAACCCATGGCATACAATAGGCACTCAACTCACTGGAAAAGACCCTGATGCTGGGAAAGATTGGAGGCAGGAGGAGAAGGGGATGACAGAGGATAAGATGGTTGGATGGTATCACCGACTCGATGGACATAAGTTTGAGGAAGCTCTAGGAGTTGGTGATGCACAAGGAAGCCTGGCGTGCTACAGTCCACGGAGTTGCAAAGAGTTGGACAAGACTGAACGACTGAACTGAAAGTGGCTTTGATTTGCTCTTTCTGAAGATTTCCAAATGCAAATAGAGAAAGAAAACAGTCATGCTAAAGCTATTTGTCCTTATCAAACACACCATGTTCTCTACATCTCCTTGTATTTTGACCCATTGCTTACTCAATGTAGAATGTTTTTGAATAGCCTTTTACTTACAGATTACTCCAACCTTCAGATGGAGGGATAACACTTCTGTGATGCTTTGACTGACTCCTCTGTTTTGTGATGTTTCTTCCTCCGCACATAGCTCCTTATACTCACAGCTCTCTTACGGCATTGTGATTGTTTATTGACCTAACAGGATGTCCTCTCCCTAAGCTATGAATTCCTTAATAGTAAGGAATATATCTTTTCATCATGGTAGTCCCAGTTCTAGCATGGGTCTGTTTTGTTGGGATACATGCTGTGTCCATTGAATAAAAACTGTTTTCTTTCACATCCCAACAGGAAAGTCAGGTACCTGATCAAGCAATTTGGTTATAGTATAATGCATTTTATAGTAGAAATAGGATACAGCGAGAGAACAAAGGAGGGGATGGTTACTTTTTCCTAGAGTTTGGGATTAGAATGCATAGAGAAGATAACATTTGGCCTGTCCTTGGAACATGACAAGGAATTCACCAGTGGATGACCTAGAAGAGAGAACACAATGAGCAAAGGCAAGAAGATTTAAAAGTGCACAGTATCAGGGCCTTCCAAGGTGGTCCAACAGTTAAGAGTCCCCTCTTCCAATTCAGAGGACATGGATTTGATTCTTGGTCGGAGAACTAAGATCCCTCAGCACCAGGGCCACTAAGCGCTTGCACGCAACTGCTGAGTCCACAGGCCACAGTGAATGATCTCACCGGCCACAGCAAAGATCCTGCATGCTGCAACTAAGACCAGATGCAGCCAAATAAATATTTTTTAAAAATAAAAGTATTGTGCATGGGGCTGGAATTTTGCTTCCAGACAAGGTGGAATTGCAAGAAGCAGATTTATCTTCTCATCTGAACCAACTGTAAAACCAGATAAAATATATGAAATGATGTTTTCAAGATCTTATACACAGGTAACAAAGGACAGTGACGGATGCCAAATAGGAAACGAGGAAGATGAGCCCTGTGATTGTCCCAACTTACCTGGAGTTTTCAGGCTATGGTTTCGGGAGAAGGAAGCCAGGCAGGGCTCACTGGCCTGCCCGAGTCAGGGAGATGAAGCTGGGCATCTCAGGAAGCTTCATTTCCTAGAAACTGAAGAGATTCCTTTTGGAATCTTCAGCTGAATGCTGATTAAGATATTCATGTGAAGAAATTACCTGCCACTGGAGAAAGAACCACCAAAAGGATGAAAAGGAATAATCCCTGGAGTTAATCCATTGATGAAATGGCTTTGGTTCCATTTCCATTAGCTGGATTGGAAAATCTCGTCATTCACAGAGATTGAACAGATAGGGTTTGCACCA